TGTTTTGCAGAGATGCCTACGATGATGCGCAGGCTGATGACCTTGCGCAGTTCGTAAAGAGAGGCGGGGGGCTGCCCCTTTGTGGGCAGGCCTGGCACTGGTCATATCAACATGGGAAGGAGGCGGTCCTGGTTCGATTTCCTGGAAACCAGGTGACCAGCGTGGCTGGAGTGTACTTCACTGCCAACGTGGGAGAAAACGGGGTCTTCTCTGTCCCTGCAAAAATCCCAAGGATTCCCCTGATCACTGAGTGAGTATCATTCTTCCTTGGTTTTCCATACGATCCAGATAGCCAGAATCGTTTATGCGCTATCTTTGTCTCATTCTCATTTGCTGTAACAATTGTTTTTTTCTTTTCTCAGCTTCATTCACTTCACATTTCCAACAAGTATTCTTTTACGTCCAGACACTACTGTGGCCCTCTGTAACATAACCCTTTTGAGTTTGTTCCAAGCAGCTTCCTCATCCTCTTTCCTCACACCCCTTTTTGATTCATTTTGTTGGGAGAATACTTTTTCATACAGGACTCACATTTTCTCTTCTTCCAGTCTTTCTGCTTTCACTTTAGTTTCTTTCACATAATTCCTTTCTTTGTACGTTGATTTTTCCCCAGGATCCACTCCTGATCAAACAATGGTCTGTCCAATATTCAGCAACTCTCATCATTCCTAAATCCTTCACTAATTCTCTCACTCTCTCATCATAAGCAGTCATATTAATCATGTTTTAGGCTTGCAGTCAATCCTTTCCTAGGGGCATATCTGAATAGATTTACACTTAAACCATGCATTTGAAACAAATAGACTTTTTTGGGCAGTCACCATTCTCATTTATTCCTGGGTCTCCAAATACCTTAGAAACTACTTCTATATACTCACTTCATTCCCACCTATCTATTCATAGCACCTACAGAATATGTTTTCCTCCCAGAGTTGTACAATTTTCCCCAAAATTAATCTGTAACGCCATTCAACACCAACAACATGCATACTTTCTGCTCTGCATTTTAGCCTTTTCATTTATAATTGAATCTACAACTTCATTCCTCTGCATGTATTCTACAGTACTCCCTTCCATATGGGGTCAGACCACCTTCATTCAGATCTATCACATCCTTCCCCTTTTTCTTAGTTCCACAGACATACATATATCTATTTTTCCCTTTCATTTATTCAAGTTTTTACCATTTTCTTGTCTTACATTCCAAGCTGCAGTCTTCCAGACAACCTCCTTGGTTGTCACTGGTAAGATCTAGAGGTAGAGAACTCTATCCATTTAATTCCTTTGGTCAATTGAGGCTTTCACACAACATTTTTAATAAGATAGATAAAGTTACTAGTCTTTTCTGTACCTGTGCAAGATGCAGCATTCTCTGCTATCCCAGCTAGTTTGGGAAAAATTTGAGCAAAATGTCACAAACCACAACAAAACTCTAGATTTATCCCAAGCATGCACATTATAATAAGCAAGCTAAGCATGTCCATCATCCTGAGCATAAAATGTTTATTTCAAATAATATGAAAAACTGATGAATGCCTCTCTTTTTAATAGGATTCTCTGCTATCCCAGCTAGTTTGGGAAAAATTTGAGCAAAATGTCACAAACCACAACAAAACTCTAGATTTATCCCAAGCATGCACATTATAATAAGCAAGCTAAGCATGTCCATCATCCTGAGCATAAAATGTTTATTTCAAATAATATGAAAAACTGATGAATGCCTCTCTTTTTAATAGGCACGGATTAGACATTCAAAATGATTTGAAGACATTTTTGAATGGAGTTATCAAATTCAATATAAAGGGTGATGACCTCCAGAAGCCAATACTTCCATCTCCATTGCTAATCCATGGAACGCTGGCATTTCCAGTTGGCATAAGTGATACCTACCACTCCTTCCTGGCAGCTGCATACTATGGTAGAGGACGCATCGTAGTTGCCTCTCATGAAGGCTTCTTTAACTTGCCATCAATGAAAGCCTTCCTCCTCAATGCCATCAGTTGGCTTTCTGCTGGAAAGGAAAGGAAGGTGGGCATCGGAGACAACTTACAGGAACTTTACTCTATGTTAAATCAAGCAATGATCCGCTGTGAGCTAACCGACTTTAAGGAAGGCCTAGGCATATACTGTTGTACAGCCTACAATGCCAAAGAGATGAAAAGCATCCATGAGTTTGTCTCTGAAGGAGGAGGACTCCTGATTGGGGGTCAAGCTTGGTATTGGACTTATGAGAATCCTAACTCCAGTGCCATTGCAGAATATCCAGGAAACAAGATCTTGAATAAGTTTGGAATTGGCATTGCTGGGAAAACTATTGAAATACCTGATAACAGCTGCCCTGTAGGAGAGCCCAGCAAAGTGGCTTCCACTTATCACTTCCGGAAAGCACTCTTGCAATTCAAGGAATATATTCAGAACAAGCAGACTCTACAACCACCATATTCCTTGTGGCTCCAGAAGCTGGCACAAGACACTGCGATGTTCCTTGAGATCCCGGCTGTGAACTCCCGTCCTTTCTCTTCGGTTCATGACGATGTTCTAGAGTTGGTTCAACTTAAAGGGATTCCTGAGGTCAGTGCATACAACCCAATCCAAGCCAATTCAGACCAAGCCCTCTTCCTTCAAATAGCTTCTGTGCTCTACAATGTTCTACCAGAGTTTCAAGACTTAGTACCTCACCTGAACCCATCTTTTCTCAAGCCTTATCCTACAGCACCTCCTCAAACCATTCAAGTAAATGGCAGCAATGCAGGTAAGACATGTTCTTAGTTTCTAATCAGCGGTCATTATTTCAGGGTACTGACTTACATTCTTTTCATCAAGCAATGCACTGTTTCAAATCTGCCAACAGTAGACTATCTTAATGTGGACTACAAACATCTAGACTGAAAAAAGCTGGGATTGTTTAACTGAATAATAAAATGTAGGCTAAATCTACAAGAAGATCCATACTACCAATTTAGATATGCAATTTTGCAGTTATAGTTGAGTTAGGAGATGGGGGCATTCTTTAATTTTGATGGAAGAGAGTGTTGAATATGTCCTTGACACAACTATTAGCATCGAATCCCAAGATTCCTGGCCTTTTCAGCAATCTCATATATATGAACTTGACTTCTGACAGATTTTCAACTTTGTTTTCAGGAAATGAAGCATGGAGAAGTACTGGCATGTATGCTGCACCAGCAAAGACAGTCACCTTAATATTCCCATCCTCTGCTATTGGTGCAAAGTTGCAGGTAATATTAGTATATCTTACTATACTCCATGATTAAAGAGACAAAACATGAACCATTAAAGATTGATGAGAACAGCTTTGCAAATCAATACTGAGATTTTGTTGCAAAGAACAAGTGCAGACATAGAAAGCCAGTGCTGAATAGAAGATCTAGACTAGAGAAACCTGTGTTCAGATTTCTACTCCATCAAGAAGTTTATGCAGAACTTGCAGTTTCAGGATGTTCATTTCACTTTCAGGATGCAAGAGGCAAATATAACCATAAGTTGAGATTCCTGCAGCACCAAGACAGTCCATTCTCCTGTTTTAGGTCCATATCTCCATTAAGATGAAGGGGCAGGACAACAATAGAAGCAGGATCATCTGCTTCTCCCATCAATAACTGCAGTTTGCTATTTGGGTTTTAGCTGGTGACCAGGCTTAGACTGTATTTGACTGCGTTTAAAGGGCCGAATGTCCTGATCCAGCAGAGAAGCAGATAAATAAAAATATTATACAAAACTGACAAGGGCTGTGGGGGTTCACAGGGTGTGATACAAAACTCACAGTGCAAAACTCCTCTCGTGATTTTTCCCCTTTTATTAAGACAAAACATAAAACAAGCCACCTCTACTGGTGGTTTTCACAGCCTTCCTTTGTAACAGTTATTTATAACTAGACAAGCCAAATTTCACTCCATTCTTCCTTTGCCTGTTTAATTGACAAGATGTGTGTGTGTGTATGTATATAATAAAAATAAAAAAATAAAAATAAAAATTCCCCTCTCACCCCTATGGATGGTATGTGTCTTCCTCAATCTCACGTCCTCTACCAGAGGCCTGGGAGTTTGAGGGTTCTGCGCAGGATCTTAGCTGCTCCTAGCATTGCACTCTTCTGGACAGAGAGCTCGGATGTTGTTCCTGGGATCTGCTGGAGCCACTATGCCAGCTTAGGAGTCACGGCCCT